TTGTCATATAAAATGTATTAAAGACATTGCTAGCTTTTTGCTTCATTCTGTGTAGTATAGTTTCCCTCTTCTCTTGATTATAATCAACCCCATCAAATATCACAATGGGGTCTATACCACTATATCTGAGCCCTTTGAAGAATCTTATGAAGTAGTCCCTCAGTTCCCAGTATTGTCCACCATATGTCCAGTCAAATTCTCTGCTAGCTACCGTTCTACTGACACTCAGCCCATCCAGAACAAGTTTACCTCTTGGTGTAACGGTTCTCCAGGTGCTTGATGGTCCATAGCCATAGTGCTCATTAATGAACTTTGTAAAGCATTGGATCCCCATTTTGTTGATATTTTGTTTGCTCGCCAATGCTCAGGAGTCCGAGTGCTACGCTGCATCCATAGCAACGAATCCCCACCGGGCCTACGGCTAGGCTACGCCCTTTTGTAACCACGGAGGAATCCATACAGCCATAGATACAGCTAAAAATAACTAGAAGTAATGTAGAACATTAAGGGGCGAGCCTAAGCTAGCAAAGCAATTATGGCACTGGATCTATCCATCTATAATCCATTCCCGATGATTTCAAAGCATGCATCATGATTTAGGCCGATAGCAAGCATGATTTACATGATGAAAGTTTAATGCTGCTGATAAAATTAATAAACTTTTAGTCTTCTAGTTTCACATACACATTTCTTGCCTATAAATGTCTGTAAAGATGCTTTACTTAGCTTTAGATATAATATTATCCAATATTAAGATGACTGAGAAAAAGCTTGATTGACTTTCACAGTTTTAATAGCAATTGCATCAGTAAAGACGAGCTTCATAGGTTATTAATTTGAATTTAAAACCTTCTATAGCTGCTGGAGAAGTCTTTGGACGGTGTATCTGCCTTATATTGCTGCTAGAAAGCTCATGAATTCTTCCAGTGTGTTGGTTGCCATTTTTATTTTACTGTGACCGCTCCCACTTTCAATGAAAAATTGAAAATTGCATTGGTAATGCATAGTATCTATCTACCGTATTAGATCTACGCATAAATAGGGGTGACGTACGAGGACAGACAGACAGAGGGACAGAAGGGGCGTGACTGAGAGTATAGCTAGAGTGGGGCGAGCTCAGGCTCGCCCCAATTATTGACCTCAATTGATATGGAAAGCCAAATGTTTCAAAATTGATCTGAATTGGTGCATCGATAAATATACCTCACTTGGGGCGTTGTGATACCATTTTTGGGGCCCATATAAATACTTTACCGGCCGATATATACACTACCGGCCATTATTATACTTTGCCGGCCCATAAAACCATTCACCGGCCCTTAAAACAGCTAGAAGTCGGTGGGATAAATAAGCAGCAGCAGCACTCTAGTTGACCCCCAGTTACAATTTACCACCCCAAGAATGAACAGCCAGGGGCCCCAGTTACAATTTACCGCCCCATGAATGGAGAGCCAGGGGCCCCAGTTATAATTTACTGCCCCATGATTCGAGAGCCAGGGCCTAGGGGGCCCCGAACAATTTTTTAAATAAAACGGATAATAAACGGACCATAAAAGGGCGTGGCCCACCACGCCCATAAGGCATGCTTAATCACGTGACAAAGAACTTAAAGAAGAGGCAATAATGGCGAATGGGACTGAGGCTCGGACTGAGGAGATTGTGGATTTGACAGTTATCAATCAAGATAATAAGCGAGAAGAGACAGCAAAAGCATTAGAAGTAGCTGGAGTATCACATTTACTTGAGAAATTCATTTCAGAAAAGGTCAAATTTCTAATTATTTATGGTGAATTAATTAGAGTTTATTTATTTATTGATGCTCACTATAAAATAGTCAGGCTTGGCTTTGTTTATCATAATTGTGCTATATTTAATAGGTCACTGTGGATTTGATACCGTTACTCGAAGACAAGCAGTTAGAATCACTAGGGGTAATTCACATTGGTCAACAAGTGGTGCTTAGAAATTATTGCAAAAAGAAGAAAGGTTGGTTGAATTTAAATTTTGCAAGGGTGTAAGAAATATTTGTAACATAGTTAGGATAAAGTTCTTAATAAAGTTCTATTAGTCTTTGCAACTACAATACATAATTTTTATACAGAAACTATAAATCTGTACCTTACTTGTTGCACAAATTTCTAGCAAAACAATATAAAATGAAATTACGAAGAAGTAGAAAATTTAAAGTTATAATCCTGTAGCATTTGAATAAATAAATTTTTACTCCACAGAGGGCCTTAACATAAATTAGCTAGGGTGATAACATTTAAATAATTATTGTTTATAAAAATTGAAAGGTACAGTACATGAATTAAGGTTTTTATTATTTATCTAGTTCAAAGTGACGTAAACAGTGAAACTAAGAAGATTTTTTCAGGTGCTTCTTCATCATCAAGCTGCAGCCATTTAAGTTTACAAAGCACCATTTCTAAAGCGACCAAGCTCATCGAAGAGCTTAAGAGTAACCCATCAGCTCGTACAGTCCGACATACTAAGAAGCGTAAGAGAGGTGGAGGAGGTTCTTCACAACAGTTTCAAAGGAACCTCATAATTATAGATTATCAAGACCAAGATGAGGATACTATTTCAACCTTGCGAGACTATGAAAAGATCTATGAAGGTGCAATTATTCTCAATAGTGATATGTCCGAAGACGACATTCGTAGGGAAATAGTATCTCTTTTAAAGTCTAAAAAAACAATGTTCCACGTATTTGATGGAATAACTGGAGAGGATATACAATTTGTGAAGTGTGCAAATAGACGTGTTAGAGTGCCTGATGGAAAATATATTGTCGATGGAAATGGAATAAAAGCCATGTATAGAAATGGTGCTGTTTATGTCAGACTAACACGCTCATTTTCCATGGTATGATTTATTTAATTACATGTATACGGCTTATTACTATCATTTTTATTTTTATTAAAATAATAGTTATTATTATTATTAATTGTATTAATTATATGTTATAGGATATGCCTTACTGTATGACATAATTACATATAACATTATTTTAATAAAAGTTATTTCCTTTGTTAGTTGGATATTCCAGTCAAGTTTCCTAAGGCTTCAAGTCCTCCAACAGTTACTTTACCACCTCGTGTCATTTTGCCAAGTATCACATGTACCTCCAACGTCACTTTGTCACCATCATCGTTCACTGTAGCTAATGCAAGTGCTACCATTGCTTCACCACCTGGTATTGTACCTACTGGTATTGTATCGTCTGTGATGGTACCCAGTACAATAAATAATGTAGGGGTTTCAACTCATTTGACAGTTTCTACACCCCTTAATACTGCCACACATACCTCAAGTTGTGAACATTCATTTTCAGATCCACAGCAGTAAGTACATGTACATGTAATTCTTAATTCTACAGTCTTGGGATCACTATTTGTACTATTATTTAGAGAATATGTCGATATTCTTAGTGACAGTGAGGACATTATTTTTGAGGACACTAACTGTCAATTGGCAATTGAGGAGAGTATATCTGCAAGGTAAACTGGATTATAGCCATGCATAAGACATAAAATGTACACAACAATAATAAGACACAATAATTGACTTTATTGACCAACTCAACAATTGTACTTTAATTTATACTTTAGTTCTAATCCTGCCTGCTCTGATTTTGAGAGTGTTAGTGACATGTTACAGTGTCATATCAAGAAAGTGTGCTCTGTTGCTATAATACCAGATGAAAGGCAACAAATTGTGGTACGAAGGAAGCATATCTGGAGTGATGCCAAGCGTGCATTGAGGAGACCTAGTTTCAACAGTTCTATTGGTCTTAATGTTCAGTTTATCGGAGAGGATGCTCATGATGCTCATGATGCTGGAGGGCCTTCAAGGGAGTTCTTCCGACTTGTTTTGAAGCACATGTGTGAAGATGGAAATCTGTTTGCTGGGTCCACTACTGAACGAACGCTAGTGCATAATGTTCTTGCTCTGGAGTCAAAAGATTATTATATTGTTGGTCAACTTATTTCATTGTCCTTAATTTATGGTGGGCCTGCTCCTCATTTTTTTTCCCCTTCTGTTGTTGCCTATCTTCTAAATGAGCCACTGACTACTAGTATGGTGAATGAGATTGCTGATATTGATTTGCTCTCCTCAATCAAGAAGGTAAATATATCAATTTGTTTAAAATGCTTGTTACCATGTATGCATTGTAGTTAATGGATACATCTTGTAAAGAAGAGATGCAAGAGCTACTTGACTCCGATAATTTTTCTTTTCGTTTTGATGTCGGAGTTAATGTACCCTCTTGTTCACTGAATTTTGAAGACAAAGATCAGATTGTTCTTGCATTTATAAAAAGTCACCTTATTTACTCTTGTAAAGGAGAATTAGATCAACTTAAAGAGGGGTTAGAATGCTTAGGAGTACTGAAATTACTACAGGATTATCCCAAATTAATGCGACCATTACTCATGTCGTCCGGAAAGAAGCAATTAAATGCAACAGAGCTGCTCAATTTGTTTACAATTGTATGGTCACCTGTAGGATCTAATGCAAGAGAGTCTGAAGAATCAGTGATTTATGCATGGACCAATTACGTGCATGATTGTGCTGGTGAGTTGACTGAGTTCTATATACATATGGAGGTGTTTGCCATTCCTTTTTTGTAATTGGTTTTAAGAACATTCTACATGTTTGTTAGTTCCAAGCCTGTACTTGTTGTTAGTAATTAGTCTATAGTTTTAGTTATTATGATTACCACTCTTAGCTACAAAGTGCATTACAATTAATACCATTACATTGCCACTAAAATTGAATGACCAATCTAAATTGCTATAATATTAGTTCAAAACTTAATACAATCTTAATAAAAGCAATTGCATGGAGTATTGGAGTTGAATTTGACATGTACATTTAATGAGTAATAAAATTATGGTATCATTTAGTCCCTATAAATTAATTAATTATTATCATCATCTTTAAGCATAACATTGGCTTTTTTATTGTGTTGCTTTGTATTCATCACATAAATTTAATGCTGTGTATCTGGAAAATTTTTACTTTGGCTCTAATTTTGCTATATATGATGATTTCTGAAAAATTTGATTATGCATAAAATTACATGCCACATTCAAAACTTTAGATAATTAAATCAGGCAAAATTTCCAGATACATGGCAAACCTTAACAATGAATACTTTTTTATTCAGGTGCTGGTCATAAGGTCAATGATAATATAGTTATAACTCTAGAGAAAATATTAACATTTATTTCTGGTTCAGATACAGTCCCTCCAATGGGGTTTGATGGAATACCACAGATATGTTTCACTGGTCCTATACATAATAGTGGGAGGGCTCCTGATAATAAGGACATTCGTCTACCATCTGCATCAACATGTGGGCCCATACTCTACCTACCATTATGCTTGACTGACCCTGATCTTTTTACAGAAAAGATGGACACTGCTATTATTGGTGCACAGATATTTGGTATTCCTTAATTATTTTGCTACTCAACTATCATTTGTTTTGTTACTAATTAGCTTATATAGGCTTTCCTACTATGTATTTTCACATTTATCACTTTTCATTTATCACTTCATTGATTACTTTGTCATTTTTTGTTATAAATTCTTCAGATATTCATATGCATTAAGGTAATGGTCAAGTCCACTGAGTTCTGAATGAGATAAAGGGTTTATCTGGTCTCTTAGTGCTTGTTCTTCAGTACTTGTTAAATTGACTGTGGTGTGAGGAATTTCAACTCTGCCCATATCAAATGGATTAGGTTGTCCATCTTGGGTGCCAAAATCTGTTTCTACATCACAGTCAAAGTTACATTCAGATAGACCCTGTAGCCAAAGCTGATTAGGTGACAAACCATGTTCAGAACGCAAATGATGATTATTCCAGGTATTTTTAAATTCTTTCAGAAGCCTATTAATTCTTGGTAAAAATACATAATGTAGTGCATATAGTTGTAGTTCATCTGTTGGAGATAATATTAGCATATCTTCCATATCATAAAATAAAGCATAAAAGCTGTGGCACACACACCTAAAGGTATCACGCCAAAGGCGCTCTATTCTTTGATTATGGACGCTAGTTCCAGCAATATGGCTATGCCTACCCACTCCTCGTACAGTCAACATGGCTCTGGCAACATCAATATTTTCCCCACCTTTATCTGACCTGACTCTTGATGGCCAGCCATCATTGTCAGTTGCTTCCAGAAAAAGAGCTAGTACTGTACTGGCTCTATTATTATCAGATGCATGGAGATATGTGATTTTTCTCGAGTACCCATCAATAGATCCATGTATTACTATCCTCCAGCGAATAAGGCAATGGAGACCATCAATGTGCCAGAGAGCATTTGAACAATGTACATTATAAATTCTTCGGGATATAGCTCGGGATGCACGATTCCTTACAGCTTCTGGGCAAACTCTCATCAAACTATCACGTACTCGTCTTCTGGATACTTGAATATGCTGACTTTTTAACTGACCCCACACCATTATAACTCCATTATTTGGTGATTGTTTATAAATCATCTGTACAACTGCATCCAATTCAGCATCTGATATTAGAGCAGAGCTAGATCTAAGTGTGGGTATACCAAGCTCTTGAACTCGACGCCAAAGTGTCGTCCTAGATATCATTAGCATATTTGCACATTGTTGCCAACTGTATCCATTATCTCTAAAAAACTCTATCTAAAATGGAATGCAATTAAAAATCAGTTTGTATGTGTAAAAATTTGAGTTAATAAGTTAATATGCAATTGTATGCTAATTTTAAAATTTGGTAGAATTCTTATGCTCCCACTTTTACAATTACACCTGCAATGAACTTTGCCGGGCACTTATTCCATACTCACTGGAATTAATTCTAGTCAATGACTTACCCATCATCAAAATTTAATTCTCTTGTATTTAAACTCATAACAAAAATATAATTAATATGTATGGAATTGCAGTGGATACAAAAATCCCCCAAAAATTAACCACTTATCTAAAAATATAATTCAAAAATTAGACTGGAGTGCTTACCATTTCTGGATTCAAATAAACTCTAGGTCTGCCAGGCCCTGGTCTGTCACTGCTGCTAATTCTTAACAACTCTGTTTGCCACAATACAAGCAGATATGCTATGACAATTTGGAGTTCAACACATAAAGATATATAAGTGGGAGTGGCAGTGGCACTATGAGAAACCTCAATAACATAATCTTCAAAAGCATCAGAAAGGATTTCCAATCTAAGAACAATTCTGTCTGTGGCTTGAATTGACATCCTGTGACAATTAAGTAAAGAATCGCATAAAAGATCATCAAGGTCCGACAAAATATCCATTTTTAATTTAATAACTGTATAAGTTTATTAGTAGTTATGAAACGGGGGGTTATCGAAACTGGGGGGGTGCAGGCCTTTATGCATAATTGGACTGGGGCCATAAAAAGCAATTGGCATCGCTAAGTTGGGGGCCCAAAGATCTTTGAGTGGGGCAAAACCTTGCATTTGGGGCCGCTAAACCTGGGGCCAAAAATATCTATGAGTGGAGCAATCAATTGCTATTGGGGCGCTGTTTATTGGCTCCTAAATTTTAAATTGCTTTGTCGGCCACAAAATTATTATCACAACGCCCCCAGTGAGGTATTTTTATCCACGCACCATTCACACCAATTTTGAAACATTTGGCTTTCCATAGGGTTAAAGCACTTTTACGGATCCAACTTTCCCCTCTCTACCTGCCCTCCGCACCATTATTGATTTTGAAGGTACAGTAGTGTTAGATTTTAAGGACATATTATAATTTGTGTTGGACAGGGGGTATGTGTTGCATGTACACGTACATCCATTTGTTGAACACAGGTGTGTGTAGTGGCAAGAGTAGATGATAGTTAGAGAGA